TCGTTTTATATTTATATGAACTTCACTCGTACGTTTTTGTACTATTTGTTTGGAACCCAGTGGCAGGTAATTTTAGGGGCAGGGTTAGGGGTGGTCCTTCCTGGTGACTTTCTTTTTTGAAAAATCATACAATTCAAATTATACATATAACGAACAAGCAACTTCGTAAAATACTTACGTATTACAGATTGGGTTGGATTTACATTCTTTATTTATTTATGTTGATTGGCTCTGATGAAATTTTTATTCAGATCGATCTCAACTGGATTGATTGAGTTGTTTACATGAAGGCTTTTCAGTCCGTTGAGCCATCAATCCAATAACTAACAGATTATTTGGGTGGATGTAAACATAGCTTATGTAACTTATAATTTTAAACTTTGACAATCACCTTTTTCATTTTTCACTCCGAGGTGGAAACAGACTTTCAAATGTGTACATTATAAGCCATACGTCTATAAGCAATTGTGTGTAAGCTTCTCTCTATTGCATATACATAAGATGGGGTTTGTATTGTTACCTCTGTGCTCTGTCTTTTCAAGCGGGCTGCAATTTGGTTAGCTGTGACAATAATAATACATCAAAGTGGAGAATCAATTCCACTACAAAGACTTTGCAGCCTAAACCTACGACTTGGGGAGACAGCTCGAGCATTGCGTGTGTGTGTGGCACACACTTTACAAAAGCATCTGTGTTCCCTCCTGTGAGTGTTGCTTCTTTAGTATTCAGTTCATGCATCTAATGTGCTAAATGTGTTTTTCTACAGGCAAATGCGGCATGTTTGTTGTGTACATGTGACTATTACGCTGCTACTGGTGCAATCAGGAGGAATTTCATTTCACAGGTGAAGATGGAACTCGGTCTAAAGTGACTGAAGCATGTCCACGCTCTTGCTCCTCTAACCGTGACACACCTGGGGTGGGCGTTTAAGGGGAACAGAGTGCAACAGGATACAAGCATCTGACACACCACGACAGAGCATTCAGCTGGCAATCAGCCACTATGCAGTGAAAGAGAGAGGGGGAGAGAGAGACTGATAAAAATGAAAAAAAAAGGACTAAGAAGTGCATCATATAGAAATGGCAGAGCAATAGGAATGAAAGAGAACCAAAGCCATTGATCCGTGAAGTGTAGCATGGAAATGGCAACACTATTCTTCAAGGATAAAGCGCCAGCCGTAGGTGCTTCCTGACGGAAAACTCACAATGGCATTCAAAGATGACAAGCAACTCAGAAGGGAATGTTATTGCTCGAAGGTTGATTTTATATATATATATATATATATATATATATATATATATATATATATATATATATATATATATATATATATATAGCTAAGGGGTCGTGAGGTGGATCAAGTAAATTTGACTTAGATGTTTCTCCTACAATTCTGTATTAGAGATAAAAAGAAACTCAAATGAGAAGATTGTTTACAGTAAGACTATAGAGCAATACAATTAATGTGGATAGAAAAGCTGATATAATTTGGTCTTGGAAGAATTTAATGATAAATGTAGATTCTGACTTGATTGCAGACAGTTGTTTTTGCAAATCTGAGTATAGGATATTTTGGGAGATTTTGAGGAAACTTTTTTTTTTTTTTTTCAGATGAAAAATCTGAGATGTAGACGAACAATTAGGCAGGAGTCTCCATTTACACTCCATTAATCTAAATGCTATGTAAGAGAGCCAAATGAGGCGTTAAAGAGATTTAATGTACTATTTATTTATTTTAGTTGGATAAATTATATACAATTGCAGTCAATTTAACACTCAAGAGCATCCAAGACTGTCAGCAAAAATGTTAATGCAACTCACTGATCAATTTCTTTATGTTTCAATTGGTTTTCTTAAAGTGTGCTACTATGCTTTTTCAAATATTACCTTTCATGAAATCTGTGATGTAGCTGTGCATGTAAACAATCTGCAAAGTTGTGAATATGAAAATGCATGATAAATAAAGTTATTGTCTCTCAAAAGAAAGAATCGATTCTGAATACTGCCCTACAAAGGCAAAAGGCAGTAACTGACCAGAGTGTCAAACTGAGAAAAATGACTTTAAAGTTTTTTGTTTTGTCCACACAAATGTATTATAGGTAGAGCAATGAAAATCTGGTGACTTGTTGCCCAGATCAAGAAATGTGTGTATATAAAAAATCTTGTGCTCAAAGTTGACTTTTGACCCTTATTTGTCAGATACTGTACTCTGCCTTTGTATTATTTACTAAAAAATAAGGAGTCGTGCAAAGGCAAAAGACAGTAACTGACATATAATCAATTTGCTTACCACCATTTAGAAGATAATTAATGATCACCTTCATTAAAGTCTAATGGGAAGAGAATCGACCAAACAAAAAGTTGTATGTGTACGTGGATAATATTTTGCAACAAATACACTTTATGCTGTTTCACTAACGCTAAATGACGCTTAATTACAGAAGATGCTTTGAAACTAGCCTAGATAACTTGTGGATAGCTTGGTCTGAATACCAGCAAGGGACACGGACTATATGTTCAAAACCTTTGAGGATTGTGGAAACATCATAGATGACGTGTATTGCAATGGATTTTATGGAGTTACAAGAAAAGGTAGGAAATGATTGTTTATTGCCACCGTGCAGTATGTAGCAGGCTACTGCCGCTGTGCAGTAATGTGTAGCATGATAGCTAGGCTGGGGCTAACATGTCAACATTGAATAGGCTACATTCCTGCAATGTCTGCATCTCTGGATTGTCGGCACAGAATGGATTGCTGAGTGATTTTTAATTATTTAAGTATTAGATGTCATGCTGTCTAGGTATCTATTGATGTTTTGGTTGGTGTTGGTGTGCTGGCTAATAAGTAGACTAGTTAGCTTCTTCGTCAGTTGCTTGTCCTAGCAATTCAAAATTAACGTTAAGTATATGGCACTTTCATACTTCATCTAATGCATTATTTTATAAGATAATTTATTACCTTGGTCTTCATGTCTCCTTTTCAACGCCAACTCCACCATCATTCTCCCTCGAGAGCAATTTGCCAAAGTGTGCTACTATGCTTTTTCAAATATTACCTTTCATGAAATCTGTGATGTAGCTGTGAATGTAAACAATCTGCAAAGTTGTGAATATGAAAATGCATGATAAATAAAGTTATTGTCTCTCAAAAGAAATAATCGATTCTGAATAGCCCACTTCGGTGACAGTTACATGTCGCTGGGTAACACATTTGCATAATGCCCACCTATGGTCTTCATTGGCTGCCCGTGAACAATGTCTACTTTGACCCGCCCTCAAACACTGTAGATGGTGTTGTGTCCATGTCGAAAAGATGCTGTTTTCTGCTCTGCAAAAGCCAATTTTCTTTGTAAACACTTGCAAAGGATGAGGATGTGAAGAGTCAATGGTTAAAATTACCTTTTGAAGATTGCTTCTCAAATCTGCATGAGGTCTAAATGGGATTTACAAAATGCTTATCTATTAAAGGAGAATTTAACCCATTTCAACATTAATCTTTATTGAAAGTGGATCATATATGTATGTAGTCGAAATGTAAAATAGTTTTTGAATTTGGTGTCCTCTTGACCGAGAAAAGACTGAGAAATAACCGGAGGGCGCAATTGTATGTAAGACAACAACTCCCACAATGCACCACATTGCACAGCTCCGCAAGCCACACCCACTAATCCGGAACAGCGCAAACAGAGAAATCACTCTTCCGTCTACAAGGCTAACGTTAGCTGTCACCACAGTTTGAAATTTATTTCACACAAAAAAATTCTAGTTAGTTGGCTGTGGCGAGCAGGACGATCGAGGGCGAGCTAGGGACGTAAGAGGACGGCACGAGGCCGGCGAGACGCGCGCCAGTCTCGCGTCTCTCACGGAGGAGCGAAAGCATAAAATGAGGAGCGACAACGGCAGATCGAGAGAGAAACAGGCCTGATTTCCTGTTGTGTTTTGTTTTGTGTAACATTACATCAGTCGTCAATGAGGGGCTGCTGGCTTATACTTTTGTTTTATATCTGCTCATTTTACTGTTAAAATGTTTAAATGTTCGCCGGTTCCCGCCTCCTTCTTCCCACAACAACAAACTCCGTTAACGTTACATTGGCAAACTCATTAGTGAATTACTCATCGTTTGTATTTATTTCTATATGGTGAATTACTGCATGATACCTGGATGTTCAGTCAGGCGAAACTAGGATGGTTCACCTCACAACACAAACGTCCGTGTGCTCGACTGATTCAGAGATTTTGTTCAGGAGAAATTGCCATCGTTGAAATTCTCTGCAGCTGACAGACTCTATCTGTGTCCGTAGCGTTCACCGAGAGCACAAGAACCAGCAGTCCACCCAGCTTGTGCCAGACCGCGACAGGCAGCCGCCTCCTGTTCCTCCATCAGCCTCAGCTGCTCTTCACTATAGACCAATTCACAAGATGTAAACATCACTGGTCCAGAAGCACTTCCTGTTTCAGTTTTTTAACACTACATAAAAGCTGGGATAAAATACAACCAACAGAACATTTAAAACTGAATCAAAAAGTTAAACAAACATCTTTAAGATTTTTTTTTTTACATGTAAAATAAAGAAAACAGTTACAAACTGAAACAGGAAGTGTTTCTGGACCAGTGTTGTTTACATCTTGTGAAATGGTCTACTGCGGCTCATAAAGATAGCCACGAACATTGGATTCGACCAGCAGAATTTCAAAATCCTCTTATTCCATATCATGTTTAGTTTCTTCCATCATTATCATACTTCCTATCTCCACAACGCTTGTTAGCTTAGCTTCCAAACAAGATGGCTGATATTGATTCAGTATCTGCAAGTGAAGTCCCACCCACTAATCTGTAATAGGCCTGTAGGGTGAGTAGGTCCCACACTCTTGAATAATAATGAGCTAATGTTTGTAGTCTCTACACTTTTTAATGAAATGAAGTGAAACACTTAAATCCTTATTTCTCCCATCTCAGGGGAAAATAAGGGAATAAACCATGACCATTCAAAAATATGACTCGATTTCTAAAGATACAAAGCTTAATGCAAATGGGTGAAGTGTCACTTTAAAGATGGGCCAGTACACACTTTATTTGGACCAACTTGCTCCTCAGAATCAAAACGGGTGTTTTGTGCTTTAAATTGTGTACACCCAGTGCAGCTGCAGGTCTCTAGCTAACTCATGTTATTACTGTCTTAGTGAAATAGTCTTGCTGCAAATAAGTGGGCCGACTATTACATACAATTGTGTCCATTAATGCAGATTGTCTGTTGTTTTTACTACTTTGAGTTATAATAAATGATGGAGCAAGATTTGTTTTGCAAACTTTAATGTTACATCAGTAATTCATGTTACTGCTCGTCTAACATATACAATTAATGATACATTTCCCGCATGTGCACCGCAATAAATTGAAATTTACACATCTATTTGTTGATGAACATACACTTGTTAATTCTGATGGTGAGGAATTACAGAGAAACGTTGAATAACTAGTTCTTCCAATGTTTCATCATCAGACTCACACTCGGATTGGCTTTAGGAAGCCTCCGGAGCTGAAGTTCAGTCACGTACTGGGCATTTCATTTCCAAAATGCACTGTAAGCGGTAGACAAATCACAACAGACTGGGCCGTCTGACCAATCCGTACAGAGTAGGCTTTCGGAAAGGAGCGATTTAAAGAGACTGAATCATCGGACGAGTCGCTTGAGAATCAGTGAGAAATGAGGTGATGAATGCATAATATGAGAAAATTAAAGTGTTTTTTATACCGTTGATGCATGTTAACCTGCTATAGGAGATCTCCAAAACAAAATTAGGAACCTTGGAAATAGCATATAGGGGCATGTTAATAGGAACACCTGCTCACCTGCTCGTTAATGCAAATATCTAATTAGCTAATCACATGGCAACAACTCAATGCATTTAGGCATGCAGACATGGTCAAGACGATCTGCTGAAGTTCAAGAGTCTGAAAGAAAGTCTGCTGAAGTTCAAAAGTCTCAAGAGCTGAAGCCTGATCCATTCATCCAGTGTCGCAGTCACTGACAGGATGAAGGTAACGTTATGCTGTGTTAAAAATGCCTATAGCGTACATGTGTGAATGTGAATTTAAAATGCTATAAAGTGACCATACATCTTCTTTTTCCGGACATGTCATCTTTTTGGACTTTGGAAAAATGAGCCCTGCAGGGACGCCATTCATTGTGTGCTTTTTTTTTTTTTTTTTTTTGCATTGCTTTAGATGCCGCCTTCTCGCACCATTGGTTGGTCGGTCATGTAAGTAACGCAGAATATTGGTCAAACTGCAGCACGTCTTGTCAACAGTGGTACATGGCTCCTGAACTGCGTTAAAAAAAGAGTCTAAATGTAAATGTACTAACGATTTCCAGAGAAAATTCCCATGTTCCCTTTAAAAGCTAAACTATTGTATTATTTGTTTGTTATTGATCTATTGTTGCGGCCCAAAAGTTGAATGAATATTAAAGTTCAAAAACATAGTTACATGAATACGAATGCATTTGTAAAATTGTGTTTTAATGCAAGGTCATTTACCACAATACATGGCCATTGCAGGAGCTCATATTGTAAAATTGCAGCTCCTGTGATTTTTACAGTGAATTTATAGTAGGTTAGTGATAATAGGCTTTATTTTTGTTAAAATTCACTTTATATTAACTAATTTACATTTTTTTACACAGGATGCTATGGATTCATATGTAAGGGAAACGCTTCAGAAGTGGAACCTTGAAACATTAATCGACAGATTTGCAGGTGAGAGATAATGTAGCAAGTTTGAAAAAGAAAACCCTGTCTCAGTTGCTTACCCTCTTTACAATTGAAAAATGCCATCACTAATATAGTGAAACCTTTTTAATTTGACTTCATGAAAAGCAGAACTTAGGCCTATTTATACGTATCTATTGTTCTTTCTGATTTATGTAAAGACACTGCCAGCTGTCAAGGGCTACAAGATGGTTCGGCCCTCTTATCAGGAGGCAAAAAAAGCATTTGTTGATTTACAGCTTGTAGGTACATCATTTATGGGTTACATTGGGTAATACATTTTGGGCAATATTAGATCTATGTTTGCATATTTAACATTTAAAAATTCTGTTTAAAGGTTGGAACAAACATCATTCAATATTTGGAGGAGGAGCAACGGAGGCAATTCCCTCATGTCCTGCAGCTTGGAGATAAATTCAACTGCTCAAAAGCCTTCGTCATTGTGGGAGGAGTGGCACTAGCAAGACAGCCTTTTACAAGCTGTGGATGCATGCTTTAAAATATTTTATGTTTTAGACATAGAGTATCCAAATCCTGCGGCATTTGTTTGGCAGTTTCTACAACACAAAATATATTCTGTGCCAGGAGGACTTCCATCAACTCACTGTCGCCTACTTAGGCAGTTTATAATTGGATAAGCTGGAAAAGCTTTTTTTTTTTTTGTGCGTGTGTGTATTTGTGTTTTTGTATTCCATGTTTCTTAGAACTTAAAACATATAAAAAATAAAGTAAATAAATTAATTTTAGAATTAATATTCTGTGCCTGGAGGAGTTCCCTCAACACTGTCGCCTTATGAGGCAGTTTATAATTGCATTACTTTTATGTATTTATTTATTTGTTTATTTATTTATTGAAAGAATTTCTTACCTCAAGGAAGGAAATTTAAGCAATTGCAAACAATAACTTAATGAAACAATAACTGAATGAAAATATTACAATAATAAAAATGAAAATGTTTACAACTTGGTTACAAATATCTGGCGCTTTACAACAATTTCTTACCTTTACATTAAAACAATTGACCTTTCGCCGGCCCCTCCCACAAAATGGCCATTGTCCAATCACACATCATAGCAACCGTTACTGTGTGAGCTGTGGTAATGAACAACCTGCTTGTTAAAGCGAACGTGTACTCCTGTATCGGAGGCAAAATGAATAAATATGCAGCGCAAGTTATATATTTCGAACTCCAAACAATTAGCCACTGAACCAGTTAATAAAATCTTCAAGGCTGTGCTGGTTGCATTTGAGGTAACTTAGCATGGTCATGGGGTTTTTCTGATTTTTCTTGAGACTGGTAAGCATTAGCATCAATAGTAGTCATGTCTCATTCATTTCTTAATTTTATATTTGGAATAAATCCCTCCACCGCATACCGTAACCCCTTTTGCTTCGATCTTGCTTGATATCGCGGAGGTATTGCTCCAAAAAAGGTCACCGACACGCACGGGAATACCCTTTGCCGTCATGGCAATCTGTCGCGCTGCCCGTGTTTGACCATTGTTTGACAGAGGTAGCAGCAGTAACTAAGGGGGGCGGGGCTCGGCGAAAGGCTAATTGCAACGATTTTTGGATGCAATGTCTATTGGATGTAAATAAAGCATTGTTAATATACTTAAGTTGTGAGTTATTTATTTACATGGCAATAATAGTAATTATAATAATATAGGTTTATTAAATAATTTTTGCCAAATAACCCAACAAATTAGTTTTGTAACCCAATTTATTGGGTAAAACTAGTTGCCTAATTTATTGGGTTAAAATAACCCAACAATAGGTCGGTGATATATCAACCCACCATTGGGTTAGCTGTTGGGTCATTTTAACCCAATTTTTTTAAGTGAGTATTTTAGAAACTAGGATTTTCACGTACCACCTTCTCTGGGATGTGCAGCCGACAAATCTGCAGCAATGCTATGCGTGATGCTATCATGTCAATAAGAAGAATTACTTTTCCTTTTATGTATAGTTAACAAAAAGCCTAATCTTTGAGACAGCCTTCAAGTTTTTAAATGTGTACAAAAATGACTGTGAAATGCATTTATTGAAGGAGCAGAGATGTTGGAGAATTTATGCCGAAAACAAGAACGAGAAGGTAAGAAAAAGTGAACAAATCAAAGATAGAAATAGAACAAGAAGAGCACTACAGGTACAGAAAAAAAAATGAAAGAAATGAAAAAGAAAACTCTCCTGCGGCCTGTTTCCATTGGAGACTACACCTGGTCTGAAAGCTAACGATTGGATTAGATTGGATGTTTGGTCTGAATGTGACTGAGAGATGCAGAAAGGACAAAGAGAATGACGCAGGACCCATGTGCACCCTTGTCAAATAAAAAGAGGGAGGAAAGACAAAATAATAGTGATAAATGTCAGTGTGATAGAGCACGGTCAGGCACTACATCCTGACCACAAACAATGCTGGCTCAACTATTGTTAGACAGACAGATTTAGAGAGCCTGCCTCTCTCAGGGGATGGAAGGAGCAGAATGAATTTATAGAAGGAAGAATGAAGCAGTCAACCTTTATTTACTGAAACGGAAATTGCTTACAAATCAAGCAACTCCGTTTTCGTGTTTTGTGAGAAAATGGATTAGCGATCACAGGGACAAAAAAAAAAGTGTACTCCAACCTCAATGCTTCAAGCATCCTCTACATAAATTGCATTTGGATATTTCAAGGTAAATATTTAAATGCTATGGAAACACTTAACAACAGATGACCTTTCTGAGGCTTTTTCACATCCTCATTGTGTGAAAGCCTCAACCACAATCTCATTTCAAACACAACCACAAAAAGAAGTTGAAATCATTTAAATGTTTATTCTTCTTCCTATTATTATTAAATTATAAACAATTCAAAGTATGAATATTGCACGATTTTGATGACAGAACGCTGCGTCATGTCGTAGCTGATAAAATGTTAATTTTATGATAACAATACGACTGTGTTGACCAATCAGAAAACAGGACAGTGACTATCCATAAACAATTATTTAAACAGTCTAAAAAGCTTGTATAAACTTTTTGTCATTAATGTTAAGACAACAGTGCTGAAAAATAATTTACCACAGATTAACAGTTATTCTAGTCTGCTAAGTATTTAATACAAACTATAGTAACCATGCAAAAAATATGCATTTCACTGCACACTTTAAGTTGATTACTCAAGCTTGTGCCTTTCACCCACATTGAAACACCCACCTTTTTATGTATTCTACTAGGACATGTAAAGTAGAATCTCCAATTAGCCTCTGAATATGTTGGAGAAGCTTTGTATTAATATTCATCAGATTGTGTTAAATGATTAATTTATTATAAAATCTTTCATGGCATACTGAGAGCAAGTTGAATACTATTAATTATACTACCATATCAACCCCAGGGCACAAACCAAGCCGTTCTCATATAGGGCTTTTGCAGATCACGGTGAGATAACATTTCCCAAAAATCCACCTCCAGCTCACAAAAAAACAAACAATCAAACAAAAAAAAACTTCAGAGACAACCTGATGAGTAGATCATGCATGTATGCAAGCATGGGCTTCATCTACACCTATTCAGCAGACACTCACTGAGAGGCGTCTCTGACTTCAGGCTAGAAGCTTCATAAGTAAAGCAGATAGAATAAAACCACTTATCAGGATATAAAAGGCCCTTAGTGTGGCATTGTCTATTTGAATTTTCACTAAACAGCCAAGAGGAATGTGCTGAACATTTTAATGCGCTGTACTGACAAACTTTGAAGTAGGTAAAAAGTCCCTGGGTGACCTACCACTTCCGGGAAGATACTAAAGTGCGTATTCGACAGACACTTTACTATCCCATGAGGCCACAGGAGAGGATTTATGAATGGAGGTGAAGCGACGCAACTGACGCTGGTAGGTCACATGATAATGACAACATGGCGGATATATACGTTTGCCTTACATTCATATAGAACATACTTTTGTCACGTTTTTTTTTTTTTAAAGCAAGTTCAAATTCAAATTTAGTACCTACTCAGGCAGTACGCGATTTCAGACGTGTTCTTTCTGCAAAAAAATACCCACCCATAGCAAATGATGTAATTGATTATGGGTGTAACAATACCCTTATGTCAAAATTCGATAAATATCACGATACTGAACTCATCACTTCACTCTGTCACGGCCTACATTTAAAATAATGTAGACAATTGGCATTATCGGGACCCACAAATATTCCCCCATTGCATTTTTATATACAGTATTATATACAACATTATACAGTAGTAGTTTAATGCAGTGACACTAAAACTCTGTAAACTTGATTTTTTTCTCACAGAGAATTTAATTTTGGGTAAACTATACACAATACATATTTTCACTATCCAATTAATTACATAATGATAATAACATAATGATATAATGTCATATTTCATGGGAGTGGGCAGTTGCTGTGGAGTTGTTTTGATGAAAATTTGTTTCCTTTGTAACAGCGACTTATCTGATTGGTGGATCTCTTATAGATATGTATAGTTAAATGCCACATTCAATTGATCCAGAGACGTTGGCACCCACTGTCGGTTTGTCTTGTTGTATTGTGTTAGTAAAATTATCTGCTGTTTACTGCAGCCAGATAGATATTCATACATGTGTCTAACTATGGTTGCAGACACTCAGCCAACTTGCTCTCAAATGTGCACAGACTGGAAAAACAGACACAAGTGGACAGCTTACAAGGCATCTTTGTACAGTATCAGGTCTTCCTTAGAAATCAGCACTTTTTTTTCAATCATTTAACAACCTGCAACCTCCTAGTAGGTCTGTCTTGAAAGGTTTATTAAAAAATAATTTCTCTTTGGAGAAAATGACTGGCATTTGCTTTAAGAACACAATCGCTATGCTCCTTATCTCCAGTAGGTATTTAAACACAAAGCTTTCTTAAGTAAGTGATACTGAATTATATGGCCTCTGTTGCTTTTTTAAGGACTGGTCTGTCAAATGCAATACAATCCTGCTTGTGTCATCAGGTTGCATTCATCCAGCTATTATAATGTGGAAAGCCAGAACAGAGTAGGGAACGGCACACACTGAAAAAATGCTTCTTTGTTGTAGCACTTATAATAGACTGCCAGCTCAGGGTGTTGACCCACCAAAGACTGTCCGATTAGAGTCTAAATCGAAGATGCAGTTAAATTCCGGGAATAACCCATTTATTATCACCACTCAACAGAATCACTTGTATGGTTGTGGCTGTGGTTTTCTATAAAATAAACAGTAACATAAACATGAATATACATAATAGTAATAATTACAACAATTAAACATAGGAGTAATAATACAGCATCAATAATTAAACATTACTTGAATAAATTGAAAGCAAATATAAAGTAGGCTGTAATCGTTGTTATGTACAGCTGTAATCTGACACCCAAGCCCGCGAAATCTGTATAACGCTGCTCTTTCGGGGTTATGAGAGCGCATGCGCATAGCAAACTGTTGCGAAAAAAACAACAATTTTCCCATTAAATATAGAAAGAAATACAGCGAACTTCGCTTCAAACAATAACATAACATGTAATTATAAGGCAACTGTAACTCAAGTGCAGACAGTAATAAAGTTAGGTAAACAAACATTTGATCTAGAGTGTGACAAGCATACACAATCGGAAATACACGAACGTCTCTATGGTATCTCGTTACATCATAATAACTCGTTTCTCAGAGCGGATGCAGTGCTCATCGACTGTATAATTAAAGATTACAAACTTACTTTGGCATTCACGCACAACCCTTCATCCAAAATATGATATATAAACAGTTATACTGCTTTGGCTTCAGCGTCAT